GACAACTTTAAAACACCCATATGAAAAAGATAGGTTTACATTTTATTAATCAAATAATATGTGAACATAGCCAATAACAAATAAATGCAACGTATTTTATTTGTGTTGTTCATTCATATCTTATTTTACCCAGTTAACATTTATTTATGCATATTTTTTTATCTCTCCAGTTTTAAACAATATTTTTGGTTTACTGTCCTATAGTATACATTGGAATGATTTCAAACCTGTTCATCCCAATAATTATAAAAGGAGTGCCTTGGAAATATGTGTTTACATAAATTGTGACCAAACCGTTTGTGAGGCACTGAGATAACTTAGACTAAAGTGAACTATCTAAACACTCAGAGTCCTTTACCTCACTGAGCTGTAGTTATCAGCCTCTGAGTCTGACTGGAGAGGACTCTCCCTCCACATTATTGTAGAAACATCTTCTTCTTATATCCGTTAGAGCAGTTGGCACCAGATTCTAATAACAACAGCGCCGGTACCGGTGCGCCCTCCCTCTCTCCCTCGCTCACTCCCACGCTCACTCGCACTTTGGCTGTGAGCTGCGGGCGCCTGATAAGCCAACATCCCCCATTTTCATCACTTACAGCGCCCATGAAATGAAAAGTGTAAACGGGGTGAAAAAGGTGTTACATTTACTTAATTATGAATATTGTTACATCAAGGCCGAAAATTAGGATGAGCACCAACTGTCAAAAATGATTTTCCCTCCCAGAGCTGTCAGCGCAGCGCCCCTCCCAGATCTGGCGCCCTAGGCGAACATCTATAAAGCCAGAGCTACGGGCCGGCCCTGCCTTCACTTTGCATTTCCTGAACATCATTTCAAGCCTTTTTTAAGTACATTACCAGTTCATTAGGACAACACTAGATGTAGCCGTCACACAGTAAATAAACAAAATTATCTTACAGTGAAATGTATATTTTTTCACTAAGAATGGCTTCCTGGCTGCATGGCATCAGCTGTTTTTGTTTATGGGGGAGAGACCATCACTGTGAGTGGCTGGAGGTTGACGTAATGATGTTGGACACACACACACACACACACACACACACACACACACACACACACACACACACACACACACACACACACACAATACTTCTCTCTACTTCACAC